AAGCTATTCTGTGTTACCAAATGCATTTAGTTGGATTCAGCCTCCTGATTAAATCTCAGGAGGAACTTATCCAGGACAGTTTTGCTCCCATCTAGTCAGTTGGGTCTCAATCTGATGTCAACATGGAGAAATCATTTTACTTGAAACAGCAGCAAGATTTACAGTGTTTAATGTACTGAAAAGCGGCCTGGAAGCTTGAACAGTAGTGATTTTATTTATTTATTTATTTATTTATTTTTTTAAAAAAACCCCACTTAGATACGAATATTACTTACTGCTATTACTCTTATGTTAAAGTAAAAAATAAAATTTTGTTTTAGGAGCTTTTTGTCTTTTTGCAGTCTTCTAATATTCAAGAACAGGTTTAGGTTAAAAATGGAAACTTAAATTTGGATTTTAACTTCTTCAAATTAAGAAGCTACCTTTTGCTGAATTGGTTGTTTTTGGGGGAACAAGTTCAGCACATGATCTGCACTTCGTGTGATTCCTTTTTAGATCTTCTGTGGTTGCAGAGTGGTAATGTCACCTTGTAGATTGTTTTACTCTTCACAATACTCAGAAATTACAGAGAGTTGTATTTTGTGACTAGTCAAAACATTTTATAAATTATGTTGGCTTTGAATATCTTGTTTTCACAGTTTACATAGCTACCCTGCATATTTAGTAGTTTCAACTGCATCATAATGTTATGTTTTGTTTCACAGAAAAAGGGTTTAAGCTGGCAAGTTTAATGTCTTAAGCCAAGTGATCTGCTTGTGGCGCTTAGAACAGTATTGGAAATAAGTACTGAAACTGTACAATGCCTGTGGCCTAATATTTTGGTTACTCTGTACAAAGACAACAGCTTACTTGAAAAATAAAGATGACACAGAACAGAAGATTTAAGCTGTTTTGGATAGTCATCCTTCAGTTTGCTGGAAAAAGTAATTGCCTTGCTAGAGTTGATGGACAATGTGAAAAACTATTCAGTTTCAAAGTATGAAAGTGAAATCCCTTATGTCAGAAAATGTTAGCTATAAACCTATATATTGGTCTTGAATGAAATTGTGATTTGACAAGCTATCTTCCTCTCTTTTTGTATGCAAGAGACTCTCGTTCTACTGGCTGCATTTACATAGTGCTTTCTGGTGGTGGTATACTGCAAAATGTGGCTGTTGGCGAACAGAACCCAGTTATCCTTTTTTCACTGTTGTTAACAGAAGTGGAACTAAGCTTCCTAAATTCACTGAAATAGTTTGAAATTTGTATTGTGAGTTTTAAGGGAGGGAAGATGCTTCAGTTTGGTTTTAGCTTTATCCTTTCTTTTACAGCTGTCATCTTCCAGCATAACAAGAAATGGAAAAGTAGGCTTTTTTTTTTTTAAGAGTAGTAAGTTGAGTGATAAGGATACTGGAGTCAAATTAAGACTTAAACACTAGAAGCTGTAGACAAAGTCATGTTTTGCCTTCCTCTAAAGCACTCTCACTTTTTGAAATCCTTGATGAGACAGCTTGGAAGGTTATGTGTATCTTTGTATTCTGCCCCCCCCCCCCCCCCTTCTTTCTTCTCCCTTTTCCAGCTAGGGTAAATTGAACCTGGCTTTCCTTTTGTGTGAGGAATTTATAAAGCAACATCTAAATCGCTGCTTGTGTTGCATGTATTCTTTAGCCTTCTTTAAAATAGTTTTTCTTCAGAATCTGATGCAATTAAGAGGAAATCTCTGAACTCAAAATTTGTCTTTCTTTAGGTGAAGTAATTAATGAAAAAGACCGCTGTAAAAAATGTGAAGGGAAGAAGGTGATCAAAGAGGTCAAAATACTTGAAGTCCATGTAGATAAAGGCATGAAACATGGGCAAAGAATTACATTCAGTGGAGAAGCAGATCAGGCTCCAGGTGTGGAACCAGGTGATATTGTCCTCTTACTCCAAGAAAAGGAGAATGAGGTAATGCTTTTGAGTTTATATTTTAAATGCCTTTTATCCTAGTCTTTTAATATTTAAGTGATATAGATGGCTGTTCATTTTAAAGTAATTCATATAGTTGCAGCTCTGGGAGAGATGGTGAATAGCTTTTAATAGATTTATAGCGAGTAACCTGGCTTTCATGGTGAGCCAGAAAAAACTTTGCAAGTCCGTAGCCAGAGGACATGGAGATTCTGGTGCTTCTTAGTGCTAATAAAAGGTAGCTTTCTCAGGTAAGCTCAGGCTGACGTTGATGCAGTGGATGTAGTGAAGAGCTATTCCAGATGTTAACTTTAATCTGCTTTGCTTGTGACACTAACAAAATGTGAGGTTGTGCTTTTTTTTCAATGTCTTGTGACATGGCAGGGAACTCCTCTTAAAATCCCCTGATGGTGCTTTCTGTCTCTGCTACTGTGGTTGTGGAAACATAACACAGAACGCTGACAATACTGAATCATTCGACAAAACAAACATATATCATTATTTTATACTAGTTTGTTAAGGCTTATGCTTAGCATATGCTGGAATATATACGTTGCGCTTTAGAATTAAATATTGCAATTTATCTTTTTTGTGTTAAAACTCCCTTAGGGCAGAGTTGAGGTGTCTGCTGCTTTTTTTGAATGCGTTTGTTTAGAAAGGCCAGGTATTACCATGATGAAATAAGAAATAGTTTGTGTCTTATACTCTGGAAAAAATGGTGAATGGAATGGTGGTGGTGGGAGGGAAGTTCTGTTTTGACACAAAGAATAGCATTTGGGTACAAACTTAAATTCCAGTCACACATTAAGGATACAATGTTGGTTATCTGAAAATTAATAAACTTTTCAAAGCTGTGTCAAGAGCTGCTAATTTGTCGATCAGTTTTGCATAGCTCTTTACACATTCTTCTTTCTTCTATAATACTGGTTGAAATGTGGCATCACAGTTGATTTTGATGATGATAAGGGAGAAATGGTCTGTAAGCATATGGAACAGTCAGATGTGCATGACGGCATCAAATTCCAGATGGTGGATGCCACTTCTTAGTCTTTGTTTTGTAAAACTAGATGTAGTTCATCAGAGTATCAACAATTCTGAAAAATTCTGTACCTTGTGTCCTAGTGAATAAAACTAGACTGACTTTTAGGGTTCTTAAAATTTCCCTTGAGGGTGGGAATCATGACTGTGGATAGAGCTTACATTTACTCTGATTAGGAATCCTGAGTGATAGGGCTCAAAGATCACTTAAGACAGCTGTGGACTAATTTTTCAAAGCCTTGCTATAGATTGTTAGCTGAAGCAGATATGCATGATGACTAGCTAAATGTTGAGAAAAGATATGGGTTTTTGTACTCTGCGGGGGAAGTAGTTTCAAACTGTTGTAAGTTCTGTTTATAGGTTGCTTGTGTAGAAGACCTTGGGGGTGAGAGAGCACTGCTGCTATACAGGCCTTCTTGTTTAATTTGAACTTTACATCACAGCATATAGTGCAGTTTGCCCATTTTCATCGGGCAGAAACTTTCCAAGCATGTTAAGCTATTTGAACTAATAGAATCAAGTTAACTTTGTCCAAAGGCTGTTGCTCTGACTGAATTTTAAGAATAAATAATAATGAATTCTAAATAATGGGTCTTGTGGGGATATGATTATAGGACTAGAAAAGCTATCTCCTGTCTTTGTTTTGTAGGTGTTCCAGCGGGATGGGAATGACTTGCATATGACACACAAGATTGGACTTGTTGAAGCACTGTGTGGATTTCAGTTCACATTTAAGCACCTTGATGGACGTCAAATTGTGGTTAAATATCCTCCTGGAAAAGTAATTGAACCAGGTAAGCTTGACCTGATAAGGACTTCTTTGACTATGCTTTTGTGACTCTTGAACACTTAATCCCATTCTTGTTGTCTTGTTAACTGAACCAAGGCTTGAGAAATGAAGAGTTGAGTTGTAGAGAGAAAGATTTACTTCTCTTTGAATTACAGGTTGTGTTCGTGTAGTCAGAGGCGAAGGAATGCCACAGTATCGTAATCCTTTTGAGAAGGGGGATCTTTACATTAAATTTGACGTTCAGTTTCCTGAAAATAACTGGATTAGCCCAGAAAAGCTTTCAGTAAGTAGTTTTTCAAACGTAAATGTGGTGGTCTTATTTGACCAAATAAGTGTGTGTGTTGTACCTCCTTGTGCTTGCTTTCAGTGCTTAAATTTAGATGCAAGTACAATTGTTCTTTTAATACTGTTTATGGACAACATGTAACTCGAAAATACCCATAGGAATGTGAATTTGTGGAACCTGTATTTAAGAGCTGTGCAGATGTTGGGCAGACAAGGTCAGGAAGAAGAGTCTTCCTGCTGCTGTGTGATTAAGTTTTCGAAGTGCAGCTGTATTTACTGGTTGCACTGTTGGTTGATGATATGTGGAGCTGTTGGTTTTAAGTGGTGACTTCCAGCTGATACAAATACTTTAGATACTTTTAAATGAGTATGCACTTCAGGGTTTACATCAGCTTAGACTTCGACAACAAACTGATCTGAGACTGGTCACTTTGGCAGTTGTAGATGCAGTACTGAATACACTTCTTTTTTTGGGGCAGGAACTTGAAGATCTTCTGCCAGCTAGACCTGAATTTCCCAATGTAATTGGCGATGCAGAAGAGGTAGATCTTCAGGAATTTGATACCACTCGTGGTTCAGGTGGTGGCCAGAGACGTGAAGCTTATAATGATAGTTCTGATGAAGAAAGCAGCCATCATGGACCTGGGGTACAGTGTGCCCATCAGTAAACGTTTGTCTAAAAAGTTGCACAAGGATTTTCTTTCAAATTTTGCCTGACTTGTTTTCAACAATCCAGCTGGATTGTATAAGTAATCCAGATGAACCAATGGACATCTATTGCTGTATGTGTAACTTTTAAATTGGTCTATAGTATCTACAGAGTGTAATTTAAACTAACCACAAGCTTACATCTTCATTTTGACTGTGTAGCAGAATAAAGCACTTGAAAGGAAGACAAGACTCCTTTTCACATGGGTTTTAAGTTTGTCCTTGTATCTGTGCTTGATTTTTACCAGTTTTGTGTAGATTTTAAGTTTCATATTTTAAATTCAAATTCTACATTGTAAAGTTTGTGTACAATTTGTCCTGAGGCTTGGTATTTGGCTGCACCTGCATAAGCTGCTACAAGTAGAATAAAGAATTTCATAGCCTGTATCTATCATCTAGATGCATGGTAAATGGGCTTTGCACATAATGGGTTTAGAGCTGACTGGGAACAATGGAAGACTAAATTAGAAGTGGTTGTAAGTTTTTTCTACCATCTTGTGAACGGTTTCTGAAATTAAATAAAAGCAGTTGGTGTATAATATATTTCTTTTGCCTTGTAACTCTTGCTTTTCCAGTGGCTTTAACTATTCTGTGTACAAAGAGATTACAGAGATGGTAGACATTTTATAAACGGAGGCTGAAGCTGCTTTAAGACTAGGTTGCTATTAGATAACAATTGTGTGCCACATGTAAAAGTGCTTTCTTGAAATAAGATATGACTAAATGGGCACGGGGAAGGCTGCAGCCATGTCCCCTTTGTACAAAGAAAATACAAGGATATCTGAGTTCAATCAGAAGATAACAAAACCTTGTAAATGAAGATGATCCCAAAATAATATCTTTCTCTCAGCCTTTGAATCCAGTTGAAAGCCTGATTCAGTGTGACTTCCTTGAGAAATGTTTCCAGTTTTAAAAAAATCTTTGTAAAAATGTGCGTTATGCCTGGCAATTTGAGTTGCATTAACACAGTTTGTAAAGAGATTGAGATTGTACTGGACAAAACCTTTTGACCTGGAAACAAACTAACTGTAGATGGTTTTATTACTTTTCTAGTAGTTTGTACTTTGTTTTAACTATTAAGACATTAAGTTTTCCAGCTTCAGTTCTGTTCCTTTTTATATGCTTTTAATTGGTAAAACTACCACAACAAAGCAAATATGACCTTAAATAATTACCAGGTATGGGTAGTTATCTCAGCATTTAGTTACAGTGCTAAGGAACTGTGCACGAACCTCAGTTGGTAAGCTGCTTCTCTGTAGTGAGGTTTTTCTCCCTGTTGAAGTGAGGAAGTTGAAAGATGCCTCTACTTTTCTTTACAGATCTGAAGTGTGACTTGTTTAATTATTGCTCAGAGAGTTGTTGATGCTTTACCAATGAGGTTGAAAGGACAAACTGCAAGGGTTTCCATGTGCTTGGGTAGGCATTGGCATTGAGTGTTGCTGAACATCCTTGTTACTGACTCTAAAACTGAAGCAAGAATAAATACTGTTTGACCTGTATTTCATTCACTATTGACTTCTTACGCTCTGGCATTCTCATCTAGTGAATCTTCATTTATTAAAACCTCAGGTTGCTTTTCATGAAGCCACGGTTACATACTGATCCTTTCTCCTGATACATTTCTCCAAGAAGTTAGTAATCTTAACTTGTAATGCTTAAACAGTTAAAATGCCTGTCTTCTGCTCTTAAGTGGTAGCTTTAGGATTTACCTCCGTGGAAAATGGAGTACGTACTCTGAACTTCTTATATCCCTACTTTCCAATTCCTTTTTTCAGGAGGACAGAGGAAGGGATTCATGGTAACTTTCTGGATAGCATGCTGATGTGAAGGGGTGGAATATGTAGTGTGTGTTAGTCCAGTTCTGCTTCAGGCCTGAGACCGCATTAATTTAGGCTCCTGACAACAGCATCTTTCAATAAAGTGGTGACTACTTCAGACTTGCCCTTACCCTCTTATTAGAGCAGGAGATACATATAGTATCCCTTTACAAAGTTGTAGTGTAGGAAAACTTCACATAAATTCACCATCTATGCTGTCTTGGTTTCAATATTTGTTGTGAGTGATGTATTACTACAGTTACTAATGCTTCAGTAGTTTACTTGATGAAGTTTAATGCTTGACATAGCTATTAATGCATTAACTGGGCCAATGGGACTGTCTATGAATAATCAAATAAACGTTAGTTGAGTGTTCTCTGTAATAACCAGCTGCAACTTAAGTACTTATGTTAGAAGAGGTAGTATAAACAAATAAGTAGTCTGTCTGTTGAGGGAGCAAGACATGATCACCAGAACTTGTATTAAAACCATTTTTTAGTTGATACTTTTTTTTTTTATGTCTTCAATATTGGCCTTAAGAAGCTGAAAGGAAAAAAACCTCACGAAGTCTTGTCCAGCTTATTTTGTGGCATATCTATTTCTACGTATATAGTCATTAAAATTGACCTAAGGTTGACTCTCATAGAAGAAGTCTTCTCTGTCCTCTTAAATGCGTTTAATTTACCAAGGTGTTCACAGTGAATATTTATTCATAAGATACTGACAGTAGTGTAGTTCTTGCTGACACAAAAGATGAGGCTGTGTTCTTTTGAAAAATAGGTTTGCAAGTAAGTTGGAGGTAATCAGTGGAAGAAAAACTAGCGCTGTTTAAAAAAATGAAACATGCCAAAGACTTATCTCTTAATATGCAACACTTTCTCAGTCCTTTATATAGGATGTAATAGGAGAACAGTGTTTTAGTTATTAACCCATAACCTTCCATTCTGATCTTAGGCTGATGCAAGTCTGAAGTTCAAACAATTGCTGTAAAGGAGGTGTGGGGCATTTAATTGTATTCTTCTCTTTACCAAATTTAAAAGGAACATTGTAGATTAAAGGGAGCTCTGGAGGCTTCCTAGCTTGGTGACAATTGCTAAGAATGACTTCAGTTCATTGAGGAGTCCTTGTGCTTCACTACTGTGTACATCCCCTGAACTTGCCCTTTTGTCAGGGCCCAGAAGGGCTTTCCCAGCTCTTGAAAGTAGCATTTAGTCACAAGAAAAGCTAATTTTGAAATTGCAGCTCAGAAAATACTTTAACAAGAGCAGATGGGATTAAACACTAGTAGCTATTTTTGTAACACGACTGCTACCATACCTAAACCCCATAGTGCAATCCCCAGCAAAGGTGTGCTAGCCTGCCTTGCAAAGCCTGCTTGAACACTGTACCTTTTCCAACCATGCAAGAAAGTGCAGGTGTCAATACTGCATTACAATGTGGGTTAGTGTAGTGTGGGAATGAATAGTTAAATCATTCCTGTTGAAATGGCCATTCACCTCCAGTAATCAAAAGCTGATACTACATTGATATGATGCTGTTATCAATTTAAGGGAAAATGGATGTTAATTCAGGTTAAACTACTGAGTTACAGAACTAACTATTCATGATGGCCATGTTGGTGTACAAGTTCACCATGAGCCAGCAGGGTGCCCTTGTTGCCAAGAAGGCCAATGGTATGCTGGGGTGCATTAAGAGTGTGGCCAGCAGGGCAAGGGAGGTTATCCTCCCCCTCTACTCTGCCCTGGTCAGACCCCACCTGGAGTACTGGGTCCAGTTCTGGGCTCCCCAGTTCAAGAAAGATGAGGAACTCCTAGAAAGAGTTCAGAGGAGAGCAACACGGATGATAAAGGGACTGACTGGAGCATCTCTCCTATGAGGAAAGGCTGAGAGAGTTGGGCTTGTTCAGCCTGGAGAAGAGAAGACTGAGGGGGGAACCTCATCAACACATACAAATATCTTAAGGGCGGAAGTCACAAGGATGGAGCCAGACTCTTTGCACTGGTGCTCAGCGACAGGACAAGGGGCAATGGGTACAAACTGAGACATAAGAGGTTTCAGTTGAATATGAGGAAAAACTTCTTTACTTTGAGGGTGACAGAGCACTGGAACAGGCTGCCCAGGGGGGTTGTGGAGTCTCCTTCTCTGGAGATATTCAAAGCCCGCCTAGATGAAGTCCTGTGTAACATGCTCTAAGAGAACCTGCTTTAGCAGGGGGGTTGGACTAGATGGTCTCCCGAGGTCCCTTCCAACCCTTGCGATTCTGTGAATGTCTGTAAAGCTTCATGTATAATCTGAATGAGAGGCTTATTTCCTGTATTTTCTGGTTACCAAGTGAGAGCATAGTTTTAATCTAGGCTTGGTAGCACTCTTTAAGAGTTTTGTCTCCCATACCTTGGAAAGCTTTTTTTTCCCCCCTTATTTGAAACTTATGACCTTTTTTCCTTAAGTGAAGCACAGGTAGAAGCAGAACAGAAGAAAAACTGATCTAGATTTCATTCTTAAACTAGTGGTTTAAGTTAAAGAATGTGCATTTTCAAGTTCTGAAAATACTAAAGCACCCATAGTGTGACTGCTGGACTGGCATCTTTACCTGGAGAGATGTTAACAGGATTTCCTACAAATTACTCGAAAGTAAGTAAGTACTAGAAAAATTGGGTTGATACCGCAAATTACAGTAAGTCTGTGTTAGTACCTGTCACCTTGCACATTTCCAGTCTTACGCTGTGACATGACAGTAATAAGTTTTATTCCTGTATCAAGATTCATATATGCCACCACAGAACTAATTTACATGCCTTAAAATGCTATTCAAGAATTTAGAAACTTGCACTTCGGCTTAATTCCAGAGTTTCATTCAAGGAGATTAATACTGGGAAGATTAAACATTAGTAAGAAAACAGCACTACATTCTGCTTGTGGCATGCATGGAAGAATGACATTGAAGAGCTCTATACTTAGGAATAGTTATGTAAAAACCCAGAGTCCTGTTTAGAATATCAGAGTTAAAATTTATTTCCTACATATAACCCATTACTGTTCGTTTTACTGTGAACTGAGGTTAGATGTTAACTAAGCCTTTTATAAAGAAGTTGGAAGAGTAGAATTATTTTCTGCTTTTCTATCCTTCTCAAAGATAACAGGAATTTAATAATACACATCACATTGTAAGCTTCATATAAAAACATTTACTGGGCAGTATACAGCTTTATTGAGACATTATAGACATTCTCACTTCAGAGGCAGCAAGCAAGGGCTGTCATGAATATTCTGTAGTCACGAGGCAGTTCCATTAACACTGTTTAGCTGTTGCCTTTCCACATAGTGCAGACAGCTCACTCTAAGGGGGGGGGAAATTCATTTTAGTTCAAGCTACCCAGCAGAATTTGGAAGAAAAAGTGACTATTGCTAAGGCAAGCAGTAAGCACTCCCCCATTCACTACCTACAGAGAGGCATGTCCATGTTACAAAACGGCTTCCAGACTTTTACCTTAACAGCTATAGCTGCATTCAAGTTTAAATACCTGCAAGACTATAAACTGATTAATATTTCTTATGTCTAGCTAGATTTCTAGTGCTGCAACATAATTCATCCAAAAGCCCAGGTACCCTCATCTATAGAAGAGACAGGCACTATGTGCCATAAAGTTCTGTTTAACTTCATTCTGCTTCAGAACAATTTACTTCCCTGAACCAAAAGCAAGGCGGTTACCATTCAGTTGCAGCAGAGCATTAACAGGAGTCTAGTTCTTACTCAGCAAGGGACATTGAATAATAGAGAGATTATAGCAAGAATCAAAACTTAGCTATAGCTTTGTAAGCCTTTGTGAATATGAGATAATGGCAGTTTGCTCACATGGTAGGAGAGACACCAGAGCAATCTAGAAGGAAGAGTTCATGCTTCTGTTGTCCCCCAGGCAATTACCAAACTGCACGTGCTTATGTAAGTGCATTTGCTTTTACACATTATCTGTGTGCAGCAGCCTTCCCCTCCCTGTTCCTCCCTTGCCCTATTCCACCCTCCACTTTTATGCCAAACAATTTAGGTTTAAGCTCAGAAAAGTTAAAGGACTTAGAATTTGCATTCATGACAGTATCTCACACAAAAACCCAAGACTAGGTGTCTGAGTACTTACATGTAAGCCTACTAGTTTAAGCTTACCACTAAGTTATGAATGTGCTGTACTGTATCTTGATTGAGTAGTTGCACATCAATATTATGGAGGTCTCCACCAGCCATACAGAGTGTCTAAACAAAAAGAGAAACAAAAACTATTCTGAAAGTTCTTGCTTGCATGGCCAGCTTTTCTGAAAATCATGTGCTTCCCTGCTACGCTGCAAAACTTTAGTAACCGTTATTCCTTTTTTTTTTTTTTTTGGCAAAAACTCAGAGACAGCAAGAGCTATCACTGTCAGACTACTCACAGTTTATCAACTACTATAAGATGAAAGTTTTTGTTTGTTTGTTGTTTTTTTTTTTAAAAAAAAGAAAAAGGTTTGATACCTGTCCATCAGCCAGGGGAATGTTTACAAATGGAACAGTTTTATCTTGGGGTACTGATTTACTTCTTAGTAACATGCCTTGAACTCTTCCACTGGTAGGTACAGTTCTTGAGACAGTCTGTTGTAGTCCAACACTAGAATGCAATAAGTGTTACCCCAAGGTTAACGTCCTGTGCTCTGCAGGAAATTTTCAAGCATGAAGCAGATGCAAGTAGTAGCAAACGTACGTAATGGAAAGGCAGTCATGTTTAAATTTTTCCAGTTCTGCCAGAAGATTACAGGAAATCCAACTATCAGTGGCATTTGCTAGCACTGACCGCTAAGTAACATTTTATGACCCTGAAACACTGCAGTAACCTTCTAAGCCTGTGTTACAGGCCAGTGAGCAAGCTGACATTGGGACCACTGAGTAACAAGAATATCCACTCTCCAATACCAACAGTGAACACTTGCAGTTTTGGAAAGAAGAAACTTCGTGCCTTGGGGCTTAAGATAAGAAGTGTGCTGTTATCTGTCTACTACAGAGGGAGCTATCAAGAAGTACCAAAGCTGCTAGCTCTTACAGAGGTACAAGGCATGCTTTATGCCATACAAATTTCCTAAGCTTCTTCCAGGACACAATTATTCCACTTCAAAAATGTAAGCTTTTGGTATCTTCTGCATGGAAATAAGCCTCTGAAATTTGTAACAGGCCAAGGTGAAACTAAGCCACTTGTTGGTTTCATGACCCATTTAAGTTTTTCACCCCCTCACTTCAACTGATGACTTCTGCCAAGACTAAACTCTGGTTTTGCATATGGAGAAAGGTAACTGAAAACCTTAACTGTTCAATGGTCAAGGAATTGATTGTCAGTTTATTTGGTTTGGGTTCTTTGGGGGTTTGGCTTATTTTTATTGTTTTTTAAAACACAGCAATATTGGTGACATTAATCAAGCTTGGGCTCTGAGAATTAGTTTAAGCTGCAAACTACACCTTTAAATAACAGTGGGTGGGAGTAGAATTTATACTCTAAATCTGTTTTGGTTTTTTTTTTTTTTTTTTTAAACTGGCTTAGTTATGACATCAAATCCTGTACCTCCATGAGAACATAAGTTAACACCCACAATCAAAGCAGGAGGCGTGACTGGTTCACATCCCCGCTACCGGATTTAGTGGCAGATCATGAAGGGCTATTAAATCTAGATTGATATTAACGTAGATATATAGTGTCTTGGTATTCAACAAAATTATTTATTATAGAACAAGCTGAAAAAACATTACCTTTTAGATACCTTTGGAATGGCTTTGAAATTTGTGGCACTGCCATCAGAAGCAAGGGACTTAACAGCCTCAGTCACACTTGCAGAAGAGTGACCAGACCTTAAAAAAAAAAAAAGGTGGTTGTTGGTTTGGGGGTTTTAATTTTTAATTTTTTTTTTTTTTTATTATTTCCTCCTCATCTACTGTAGAGCTTTCCCTAGGAAGAAGATAGACAGCTGGTGAATTAGGGAATGCTGAAGTACTCCATGACAGAGATCTAGTACATATAGATGTGAAGAAGCCCTCCTGAGGTAGACATGATATAATGGGACCTAACACGATAGGGGAATGAAAGGATAATTTATGTTAGTAGATAAGAGAGGGCTGCAATACCTGAATTAGGTATAATTAAGGGAGCATCCACAGCTTTCTATCTGAGCACGCAAGAGGTTTTTTTGGAAGAATTTTTCAG